TTAAATAATTGATTTTGTTATCGATTTAGTCATTTACATATATTGTTATGATACTGATACTGATGATTGTTATATTTATCGCTGAATTAATCGATTTTACAATCGTTGTATTTTTCTATATGTGTATGGATATTGTTATCGGTACTTTTATCAACACAGTTATCAACAGGGTTATCGATACAATAATCGGAACATGGAATGTGATCACATTACATGACATCACATCACATTTTATCACATGATATGAAGAGACATCACATGATTTTGCATCACATAATATGATATCACATCACACGATATCATGTGACATGACATTATATGATATGACATCACATTATATGGCATGACATCAAATGACGAGATCACATGATATGACATCGTATGACATGACATGGCATTACATGACGTGGCATCACATGATATGAAATCATATGGTATGACATCATATGACATGACATCAGAGGATATGACAACACATGACATGACATCCTATCACATCACATAAAATCACGTCACATCTTATCACGTCATCGCACCTCATCTCATCTACGTGAACAGAAAAAGAAAAGGATATAAGCAAAGATGTGAAAGATAAAAACAAAGATGAAAACCAAGGTAAAGTTACCGATTTCAAAACCAGAAACACCGTTGGAAAGTAATTTTCTGTAGATGACGAGAGTTTTTATAGTTTCGAATTGGTTGAAAATCGTCGTTTAAAAATTACCATATTTGTTAACGATTGTTTTTGCAACCTGTTCAATTCAAGCCTTTCGCATTTTGTTTTACTTCGTATTTGAAATTAAACTTTGAAATAAAGATAAATATGAAGATGGAGAAACAAGTGATAACGATGAAGACAAAAAAAGGCAAAAGTGAAGATAAAGACGAAAATTGAGATAAAGGCGAAAATGGAGACAATGAGAAATACATAAGAATTAGGTTAAAAGATAGGAATCGAAATAAAATCAGCCATAAAGGTAGTGAAATTTATCGAATCATCGAAGTTTATAATTATCGAACTTTATCCATGCTTATTAAGTTATCGCAACGTATAGAATTATTCAAACTGATCAATGTTTACTGAGTTGTCGAAATTGATAGACACAGAAACTTAGTTGTCCAAATTTACGGATAGTTATCGAGCTATAAAAACGTGTGGGATTAACGAAATTTGTCAAGTTAAAGAAATGTATCAAGTTATCGATATTTATTGAATTATCATTATTTATAGACTTAACGAAATATATCGAGGTGTCGTAATGCATAATTATAATTATTGATCTACTGAAATTGGTTGGTTCAACAAAGCAAATTTTATGGAATTTTCAAAATATATCGATTTATCGAAATTTCAACGTTATATAAGCTTATCGATTTATCACTGCTCATCGAATTTAATCGTCTTAACAGAGTGTAACGAGTTATCAAAATGTTTAGATAGTTTTCGAGAAATGTGGAGATGTCAAAAGTAAAAATTTATAAAGGTATCCAAAGTTTTTACATTTTTGAGTTATCGAAATTTATCGAGCCATCGAATTTCACAGTTATCGAAATTGGTCGAGTTAACGAATTTTGTTGAGTTATCGAATTTTACTGTTCTTGAAATTCATCGAACTATCGATATGTATCAAATCATTGAAATTTATCTATAAACTTGAATGTATCGGGTCAATTCCAAGTCCTGCCGAAGTCCTCCAATGACCTTCTCAGATAAAAAAGAAAATTAGTTACGTGTTAGCAGAAGATTTTCCGGATAGTTAATTTGTACCGTATAAGTATTGCTACGTGTTAAGTTAGAAAACCTCTCCAAGGCTTCCAAAACTAGAAAAACTGTCGAATTTCGAGTACTTATTAATTGGCTTCGGCGAGAACGATGGTGTCCTTAGAATAATTTACCACATTCTTTTTTTTAATTATTTTTAAGTCAGTCTGAAAGAACGAAGTGCATATCCGAACTTGTCGACCTAAATATGTTCTAGAAAAACGAATTCCGTTCTTGGCTTTTTCTGAAAAAGTTCTTTGTGGACTTATGGTAACTGAATATAACAAAATATTTCACGAAAATGATCCTAAGATAGTGTAATTAGTAATTTTTATCCTATAAATCCCTAATTATGATTAAGTAACATGTTTCATTTTATTACTGAGTAGAAAAACACATAAAATAATTTTGACCGGTTTTACTATGCAAATACTCCTCTGTGCGATGTTAAAATAAAATATGCTACATATGTTAGTTACATATAATATGTTTGTGTAATAACAATAGTGCTAAGAAGATTTTACCATTACTGCATGTGTGCCGTCGATTGATAAAGACTGCATAATTTCTATGTGATTTATTTTCCTAACAATATTTGTGCGCGTTTTTTATGTTTGTAATGTATTCTGTGAATTTAAATTACCAAAGTGTTAGTTTTTTATGTAATGTATATAATAATAATATGATAATTCGTGAATTGAACTAAATGAACTGAATTAAGTAAATAACTAGTTCACTAAGGGGAGCGAACTTTTTACAACTGAACGGTTCACTCAAAATAACTAAAGGGCCCAACTCTACTATATAATTTTACAAAACGTTAATGTGTGTTTGGGCTTTAGCATTATCAGATGTCTCGTATTTGCTCTGCCCTGTTCTTACGGGTCAATACATATAACTTTTGAGGCAAGTTCTGATGTTGGAAACAAGGAAAATTAAAATGCTTTGCCTACAAAAAGGTCCAGCCACTTATGATATTACTAGTACCTTTTGTTTAGAGTCCAAAGTAGGCACACAAAATTTCTAAAGAATATAAATACTTACCTTAAATTAAAGTCTAGACCTGTCAATCTGGCACTTGAGGTCGAAATAACGTATACATTATATGACCTTTTGATCGAAAAATTAAACTGATTCACATATTAATTTGACACGAAATATTTTGAATTGATTAAAAACAATTGGTAATTAGCGCATCGCTGCTAATATCACTCACGATTTTCTTTCATCGTATCGAGATCAGAATGAAAGGAGTATCCTTCAGCGGAGGAAGAAATTCTTTTCATAACCGCCTATGCGATTTTGGCCGACTGCAATACAGCATTCGTTGTTTCTTTTCTGCGCCAACTGGCGCTAATTAAAAATGCCAAGTGAAGCCATGTCCACCACTTTTCACATTTTCTTGCTCCAGCATTGCGTTTCTGACTATTCGTACAACATGGCCGACGCAGCGGAGCTCCTGTATTGATCCGCTGCATTATATCTACTTGTACATATGTTGTTAAGGTTTTCACTTTAGCAATTAAGTTGTCTCTTAAAGTGTGGAAAATTTGCTTGAATTAATTATGTACGTCAAAACCTAATTATAAAAGCTTGACAGATTTCGTTTTGAACTTCCATTCTCTTCTAAATTTCCTTTATAAAATAGCAATGAAAATTTCCACAACGATTCAAAAAGGCCAATTACAGGTTATACATAAATTGAAGAACATATTTATGGACAATCCTAGCGGCGATCTATGCGACGAATGTTGCTGCTAAGCTGCGATATCGATACGAAAATTCTCGCTAGCTCGTTACAGAGTAGTTGCGTTCTCTAACTCGCAAGAATTTATAGGACTTTAGCAGAAAGCGTTCCCGTACTCGGTTCTCCGGCTTCTTTTGCTTTGTGACAGTTTTACAGGTTTTAACCCAGAAAAGTTGGGAAACGCAACTAATGCAACCGTCTGATTCAAATAATCGAATATCGCCAAATCTACTTTGCACTATGTCCTGGCGACTAGTAGAGAGGTAACCAAATTGATTTGATGGTTTTTGAAGTCGCTGATTTCGAATATGATGTTCGATTTTTCAGATTTAAAATGGCGGTTCCAATACGGCGACCAAATTTTATAATTTTTTCCCTTTCACCAAAAACATATATATAAGCGGGGCCCGATGCAATACTTTTGGAATTAAAAATGGCGAATCAATATGGCGAACAAATTTTATAATTTTTTCCTTTTCACCATAAGCTCATATAAATAAGGAGTTTTCGAGTCCTCTTATTTCGAATCTGATATCAAATTTTTTAAATTCCATATGGCGGATCCAATTTGACGTTATCGTTATGTAGTTGTTATATTCTTCGGATGTGCTCCCTTTAATAATATTTTGCAGCAAAATGTTTAAAACAGCAGTTTTTGTTGCATCTTTCTTTTCAAACATCAAAAAGCACGCAAAAAACACGTGAAAGTTTTCTAAGAAAAAAGCTCATTATCCAAAAAGTGCAACATGATTCTCAGCCCACAAAATTTAATTAAATATTGTTATTGCCCACAAAGCTTGAAGACCAGCAAATGAAACCAATTTTACTTTACTTAAAGTGGAATATCATAAACTAAATTAGAGTCCATTTTGACAATAAGTTTTATTTCATTTAGCAAGCTAAATGCTAATTTTATTTTTTGTTAATCACACAAATATTACCTTCGTTATTCATTTCCATTCTCCTTTTATTTGAAGTATATTTCTCACTCTAAGACTTACTTATTCCAATTCGAAGTACAAGAATACTGACTTCGAAAGAAGAATAGTAGAGGGACGTGAGCTGCTGCCAATACATTGCTCAGCGTCAATTCTTCGTCAAACACGCCGGCTGTGCTTCTATTCAAAAGCGCTGAAAAGTGTACCCAACTTATCACAAGGGTGCTCTGGGCGTCGAGTACCAGATTTCCATCTTCGTCTTTAAACTTTTTATAGAAATGTAAGTTTTAACAGCGGATATCCCAACGTAAAAACTGTTTAAGCAAATAATGAGTGTGCCCTTTTTTTCTCTAGAGAATTAGCTTAGTGAAGGGATAAAAGAAATTGATCTATTGTTACTTTAAAAAATGACTTTTGGCCATTGCATTGTTGCAATGACGCTGTTTTCGTCGGATCTCTTCTCTTGTCGCGCATCTATGGAATTTTCCTTGTTTTATTGTCGACCTCAAACTAAAATTCATAGTACAATTAAATTATTAAATATCGCTTTTTTTAAAACTGGATAGATGGTTTATTTATAAATTTCTTTTTCATACTCATAAGCTACTCATACAATTTACATAACACATTAATTTGATTTGCGATTCTCACATTTACAGAATACCAAGTTTAAGAAATATACATACATTTTAAAAGTTACCGCATATTTGATCATATTTGTGGTTGAAGTTCATCATAGCAAACATTCAATAATGTATACAAATTTACATTTCTTCATTCACAAAAATTGTGAACGCAATTTACAAGAATTTCATTTCTAACCGTTGGTCTCGTCCACATTTCCAATTAATGCCTCTATGCGAAAATCTTTCGCATTGTTGTGCTTTGTTGTTCTGACATGATCGTACTCGAAGGGAATTATTGTTTGTTTGTGGGTTTCATCATCATTATACTTTACCTTCGATGTATCTTTTAAACCCACAAAGTTATTGTTACCCTTTGAACAATTCGAAATTTCTGAATTATCAAATAATAAAATGTATGAAGATGATCTTTTTGCATCACCCTTATTCCCTTTAACGACGTCTTCAGCGTCTAATTGCGGATCTAATCTATTATTTGTACATACACTATCAATTGAGTCTGATATGTGGGAGTCATGATCATTGGAGCTTTCGACGTCAATTCTATCACACGACAAATCATCGCTTTCATTGAAGATGTTAGAATCTTTGTATTGGAGTAAGTTGCTGCAATCGATATTCTGTTCTTCTATGAAACTGGCCGCCGATCCAACAGAAGAATGCAGTCTGCTGTATTTATCCTGGGTGTTGTCTTGCTTATCGTCCATCACACCGAGAACGTTTGTGTTTTTTCTCATAAACGAGGCATTCTGACAGACTATGTTGTCGAATTTGTCGTTGTTCTGATATGAAAGAACATCTGCACCTGCAAAGAAGTTGAACTTTTTCTCTTCTCTCCGCGCCGCATCGAAAACATCAGTCGGCGCATGCAACATATCGAAGCAATCACGATTGCCTGTGAAATTTGCGACATTAAAATGAACTGGCACTAAAGGCACAGGTTTTCGAATCCAAAATGGCGAAATAGACCCAAAAACCGCAGGAAATGGAAATCTCTGCATAGCGGGTGGACGTTTGTATCTCTTTCGTCTCCTTAGGAAGCTTCCGTTGTCAAACATGTCTTCGGCTAATGGGTCCAATGTCCAGAAGTTACCCTTACCCGGATTTCCTGGTTCGCGTGGAACTTTAATAAAGCAATCGTTTAGGCTCAAATTGTGCCTAATGGAGTTCTGCCATGCAGGAAACTTTTCCTTATAGTATGCGAATCTGAAAAAAGAACACAATTTCTCATAAAAACAGATATATTGAATTTAAAAGCCTAGCAACTAAAAGGCTGTAATAACTAAAAAAAGGAGCACCTTTGAGAAATTTATGCATAATTAATTGTCACACATATTAACGTTTCATAATGTGTAAAAATTGCATGCCAAAGTCTTGTGAAGTTTCAGCATAGTTGCCAACTTGGTGCTTTAAGCACTAGATTTAGTGCTTTTTGAAAATTAAAACGCCAAAAAAAATGGTTTAGTGCCTAGTGCCCTTTTTAGTGCTTTTTTCTGCACTAAAATTTCTGAATTTACAAGAATCGACAAATTTAAATGCACTAAAATGCAAACCATGATTGATAAAAAGATGAAGTTGCAAACCCACGTTCTTGCGTTCTTGTTAAATTGTATTAGCGTTGAAAATGCTAGCACGCAGATAAGTTAAGTGTTTACTTGTCAGGCCATTATCAACTCTACAACCAAAAAAAAAGTGTTTACTTTTTATTTTCTTTATTATTGATTGATTACACAGTCCGAAAAATTTTAACTTTTTTTGCCACCTGAGTTCATCGGTTTTTAGATTTTTCGGTGCTGAATCCAAATCTGGCTGCAGAATTTCTCTAACACGTCCGAATTTTGAGATATCCTAACCTCTAAGTGTAAAAACACGGTTTATTATAAAACAACAAATTTTTTCGCTCATTTCTACTTAGGGTATCATTAAGTATTACTCTTCGCCTTCAAAATTCAATTTCGTTTGTTGCGATTCGATTGCTCTTTCTTCAGATGTACCAGTTTTAATGTACAGTACAGTACAGTGTTGCATGACAAGTATGCAGTGTGGACCTTTTTAAAGAAAATTATTGAGGATATACAAACTAAATATCCCATTTTGAAACAAATTCACGCTGTTTTGGATGGTTGTGCTGCACAATTTAAAAATAATTTCACTCTGTCAAACATCTGTTGGTCGCAAGAGGACTGGGGTGTTGAGATTGGCTGGAACTTTTTCGCAACTAGTCACGGAAAAGGTGCGATGAACGGTCAAACAAATGCTTTGAAACGCTATTAAAACCAGAAGGCAAATAATGAACTCTAGCAAAGATTGCTATGATTACTTGAAAACGAAGAATCTGAACATTAAAATTCATTTCATTTCTACCGACGGTATAAAAAAACAATAAAGAAAAACTCAATAATTGGTGGTCTGCCATTAAGTCAATTCCACATGTTCAAAAGCAGAACTACTTCAAAGCATTAAAGAATAAATGTCTCGCTTATGCCCTCTCTGCAACATCAAGACAAAAACAAATACAAATGTCTCAAAAAGTAAAACTCCGCTACAGCGATGTATACAGCGATAGTGAAAATGGGGATGCACCAGCTTGTTATTAAACAGTTTTATAAAGCTTGTTATTAGTTAAATACGCTTCGTTTTATTTAAAATATAATAAATATTCAAACAAAATAAGTAGTGTGCTTTTCCTTCACGCAGTATGTGTCTTCAATAGTGACTCGTCTCACCGGTCACAAAATACTGTCCCACCCGTCACAAGCTAAAAGAGTTTTTTTTCCCCCAATACCATAAGACCATCAAAGCATAAAATGAACTTTAACATTCTTCAAGCTTCATACGAGAAAGACGCTATAAACAAAATATGTCTAGTTTGTCTTAAATTTTAATTTTTTTTGTTTTTTTTGAGTAAAAAGGGTATCAAAATTCGAAACATTTACTCCTTACATTTGTTTTAAAGTAGTCTTTCAATTAGTTGACTTAAGAAAAAATTCACCGATAGTAACTAGATCGCCATCAGTTAAAAAGCAGCGATATGTGGTACTTTTAAAAAACAATTTTAGAAATCCATATCTAAAATGACGAATTTAGAACTGGTTCAAAACTATAGAAAATGGGGTGCAAAGCGAACTAGGTCCCATATGTCGAATTTAGGACTGGTTCTGAACTATAGAAAAGGTAATGTAGCGGGGGACAATTTCTAATTCCTATGACATCGCTGTGTTAAATTCACCATTTGTTTGCATGCAAAAGAGATTTATCGCGAACTAGTAGTGGTTCTAAATGTACTAGAAGCGCACCAGTTCAAAACTAGAGATTTTCCCCTCAGGTCAGCAATGCTGGGCATACCAACACAGTCTCACTTTGACGTGGTATTAGTGCGTCGCGCTCAGTTATGGTTGCCACATTTTTTATAAATGTACTAAGTGGTATTTTTCGTGCATGGGTCTATTGGTCTATTTTGCCTATACGTATAGTGGAATAATGAATCTTGTAACAATACTATTAGTTTATAGAAACTTTTGCATACGAAAAATTTAGTACATGTAAAATTTAAATTGGTAAAATTCATTTGTTTAATAACTGGGCACCGTTTTCTTAGAATCAAATCTTTGAAATGCCAGCCGGCAAGATGGTTACGGTGCTTAGACTTTATTATTTTCATTAAATAGGTATTTAGTCCTAAAAATAGAGTATAACTTATAAATATTATCCACTAAGTATTTCTGGCCATAAACCAGCATTTATATTTCTCTATCGATTTCTTTAGATAGAAAACAATTTTTCTAAAATAAAGTATGCAATTTGTGCCCTTTTTGAAAAAAATCATGGAACTTATTATAAAATTAGTGAACGTTGGTCAGCAAGAAGCCCATTTTATATTTTTTTAAATTCACACGGCATGAAAAATACAGTTTGCTTATATTAAAAATACGTAGGTGTGACACAATGTCGTTGAAGGTTCTTTGAACTATGAATTGTAGTTCTTATATATAGTCGCACTATTTTGTGTTTGAATCGAAGTAAACTCACGCAAACACCAATCGAAGAATAATACACCACATTTTGCTTTGGGCATTTTTTGTCAATTTCCTACACAAAATGTGGCAAGCGTGTGCTAGAATTAGGAAGAAAAACAATCAACAGCCGAGCGTAAAATTACCTTGGTGAAATCTGCAAGCAGACTGAATCGAAATTCGCTGCTTTGCTTCTGTATCAGTGTTGGCATTTGAGCCGTTTTCTGGCTAGATTTAGCCGGTTGCGATAGCAAACAGCCGCAGAAATTTCGATTTAGCCGGCAGCCGATTTGTTAGCCGTTTTGCAGAAAAAAATTAGCCGTTTTTAGCCGATTTTGCTATTTGTCTTGTTATCTTAAATTTCAAATATGTATATATGTTTCCATTTTTTACTAAGCGACCCAAAATCTGTTTGAAATGGCTACTAGCCTAATCGTGGAGAAAATTTTCATGTCAGGCAGGATTTTATGAAATTGGGCCGATTTCGCTTATTTTTATTATAAATGTCTTAATTTTAAGTGTGAAGTTTTATTCGCAAACTTAGAAAATAAGAAATTGTTTCACTGTTAAAACTCTTAAGATTGGATATCGAGCCCTAACCGCCAAAATAACGTAAGTGACACTTTTTTCAAAATTTTCTTTTTAATGCAGAAATATTCCTAGAGCATCTAGATGCATTTCTGCATCAAAAATAAAATTTTGAAAAAAATGTCGCTTACGTCATTTTGGCGGTTAGGGCTCGATATAGTGCCAACAAACAGAATAAATATTACATGTAGATATTGTCGAGCCCTAATCGCCAAAATAACGTAAGCGACACTTTTTTCAAAATTTTCTTTTTGACGCAGAAATATTCCTAGAGCATCTAGATGCATTTCTGCATCAAAAAGAAAATTTTGAAAAAAATGTCGCTTACGTTATTTTGGCGGTTAGGGCTCGTTGTCTTCCCAGATAGCGCACATTCAATTCTGCCTAAATTACAAAACATAATTTTTGCCCACTCCCAAAGGTTTAAGGTAAGGGAAAAATTGATATATTCAAGCACTATATACATATACTATGTATTTTTTTAAACAAACTTTTTTGCTGAGAACTTATTTAAATTCCAAAAACCGAATGCCAACTTGAATTAAAGGAACCAACACTGAAGTGAGTCAAAATGAAAATAAAAGAGCACAAATTTCTTTGTTAAGCAAAACTCTCTCTAGGAATCCTACGAGACTTCTGCCGGTCATATGGCCGGTCATCTAAATGGGAGATCTGCAGGCTTATGGCATCATATTTTACATCAGAATTGAAGGGATTTCTGAAAAATCTGACCAGTTATTTTGTGTAACTGTGATTTTGCATCCCTTGTCAACATATGACCTCGGTTGATGTTAACTTAAGGTCGCTGTTTTACTGCCTTAAAATTGAAGGGAAATTTTTACAGCGTTTTTTATGTGTATTGGTTTCTATTTGAGTGTATTGAGAATCGGTCAGTCTGAAAAGGCCTTGTAGGGAGGACAATAGGTTTGTTCGTCGAAAATCCAGCGAGAATTATCACTCAAAATATCAGATAGTAAGAAAAAATGCTCCCAAATTCTCTCTCATGTGGAGAAACTTGCAATTTTCTGTACGAACGCAAATTTGGAAGTTTTTCTGCCAGCTAGTGTCCACGGTTGCATTTCAAACAAAAGAAATTTGTATAGAATTTTTAAAATTCTTTCTGAGAGGCAAAAGTAGGATCTACGTGTATATATCTTGTCAGTCCTACTTTCTTCAACATACGTTTCAATTTCTTTGTCAGGTTTACTATATCGACTCTGTTTGAGATTGCATTCCGATTAAGAAAACAGTTTTTTTTGCCGAGTACCTTTCAAATCATTGGAATTAACTAAATTAATTAAGTAAACAAGTATTAACTTACATTTTTCATTTTAAAATCGCTGCAGTTTGTAAATTTTTAAATTTAACGATCTTGTTTATTCAAATTATCGTCGACAAAAAATCCAACCATGCGCCACAATCATATGTTTTTCCTAATTGCAAACTCTTGCTGGCAAAATTTTTTCCGGCGCTGGCGTTGCTCGCGAACAGTGATCGGACTTCTACCACATTGTGATAGATCTACCACTTTTTGGAGCCTCCACCACATCTCCCTCACACAAGGTCTGAAATCTACCACATATTCGCATTTTTAAGTAGTTATAA